CTGCTTAATAACTATTTGATATTATTTCTTTCATCACATACCTCTTCTACTTCCTCCCCAACATATTCTCAGAGAACATAGAAACACGTGACAAAGAACTTCAACACATTTCTGCCACCACTACTCCCAATCTATCTGCTGCTGTTCCGACATGATCTCCTGTTACTGAGGATAAACTACCTGCATTCCTAAGTGTGCCAGGAGTATCACAGGAGACTGCCTTGGACTTTGCACAATGTTCCAGCTGTGGAACGTTGAGTCCTGCACTTGTGTTCTGGATCCCTTGCTTTCACACTACCCAAGAACGTCATTCATAGAACTGTCCTCTCAGTTTGTTGCTTTCTCCTCTTTTACTGGATCATTTCTCTACAGTATAACAATATTATATAATATCTCCCATCTTTTAAAAAATGTGCCCTTGAGAACATATCCCCTTTAGTGAATATTTTGAGTGATGTATGCTGTTTAATTTATAATTTACAAAACTCATTGTGGAGAATGAATTACAGGGCAGGGAAGCAAACAAATAAATGCACTAATTTTAGACTATTTCAAGAGAATTGTTCCAACATTAGCAAACTAGTGAATATTAACCATTTTAAACTTGACTCTGGAAGCTGTAGAACTATTACAGAATAGGGAAGTTTAAAAGCCCCTAACAGCTACATGCATTTTGAAAACTGCAGCTCCATTCTTAGGAAAGATATAAGCAATATAAGCCATACGTGTTCCAACATGAGTAAATCAATGAATGTAATGTACTACATGAACACAATGAAGAATAAAACTTTCATAGATATAGAACAATCATTTGAAAATTCAACACCCTTCTTTGATTAAAAAAAAAAACTCTCAGTTAAGCAGGTACAGAAGCAATTTTACTCAACACAGCAATGACTACATATGAAAAGCTCACAGCATACACATTCAATGGTGCTCTAACACAGGAGCAAGACAAGGATACCTGCTTACATCACTTCCCTTCAGCACAGGAGTAAGATTACTAGCCAGATGAGCTAAGCAAGAATGAGAAAGAAAATCCAATCCAGAAAGGAAGAACTAAATCTTTTCTGTTTGCAGATGATATGGCCTTATATGTAGAAAGCTACCCAGACTTCATGAAAAAAAAAGGTAGAACTGATGAAAAAATTTAGTAAAGTTGCACAAATATAAATTCAACATAGAAAAATAAGTTGCATTTCTATATACTAACAACGAACTATCCAAAAAGGAAATTAGGAAAAACAATTCAATTTTAGTTCATTTTGGCTATTATAACAAAATATGTTGATCCTGGTAATAAATAAGCAATAGAAATTTATATATTTCAGAGGCTTGGAACCCTAAGATCATGGAACCAACAAATTCATTGTCTGTTGAGAAATTTTACAGAATTTTACAGAAGTTCACAATGAAAAGTGTGCCTGGAGTATCAGAGGAAACTGCCTTGGACTTTGCACAATGCTCCAACTGTGGAGATTCCGAGGAGGGTATTACTGTGGTTTGGTTGTACATAGGGAATTGTATTGGGCAGAGGTAGGACTAAAGACTCGGTTCGGAAACTGTTCAGAAAATGCCCCCAAACAAAAAAACCTAAGAGGGTCTGCTATGTCAGCTTCTAAGCATTCAGTGAAGAAAGTAAAAAATGATGGCTGCTCAACACTATTGTACCACTGCTGCTTCTGTAATCATTCTTGGGGTCGGGGGAGTACCAGGGATCAAATTTGGGTCCTTGCACTTGCTAGCTAAATTCCCGGCCCATAATCGTTCTTTTTGTGCCCTGGATGAATATTTAGAGTAATTTTATGCTTTCTCCAACTCAGTTTACTAGCTCCCTCTGCTGACCCAATCTGAAGGATGATGCTTGAATTCCTTGCATATCTTGAATTATCAAATCACACCTTTGGAATAGAAGACCACAGACATGGAAAAACTTGCCTAAACTACTCTCTCCTTTTCAACAGCTCCTGTGATGATTCAAGAGATAAACATAAAAGTCAGGGCTTGAACATTCATTTCCCCAAAGTTAACATACAAATGGCCACCAGACAAAAGCGCACATCATCACCAATCATGGCAAATGTAATCAAAACCAAGGATATATCACCTCGCACCTCTTAGGATAGCCATTACCAATAATGGAACCAAAAGGTAACAGTACACAAGCAAGTTGAAATTCTTGTAACTGTTGGTGGCAATGTAAAATGGTACAGCCAACATGAGAAATAGTGCAAAGAGTCCTCAAAAAATTTCTAATAGAACTACCATCTGATCCAGCACGCCTCTTCAGAGTACATATCCAAAAGAATTGAAATCAGAATCTCAAAGAAATATTTTAATTCCAATATTCACTGAAGAATTATTCACAATAGCCAAGACATGGAATCATTCTAAATGCCTGTTGATAAATGAATGGATAAAGAAAATGTGGCATTAACATACGATGGATTATTATTCAGTCTTTGAAAAAGAAGGAAATTCTGCTCTATGCAGTCAAATATATAAACCTGGAGAACACTATGCTAAGTGAAATAAACCAGTTTCAGAAGGACAAATACTGCGTGATTTTATTCACATGAAGTATCTAAAGTAGTCAAAATCATAAAAAATAGAAACCAGAATGGTTGTTGCCACAGACTGAAAGTACTGGGAGTTCTCATTCAATAGCTGTAAAGTTTCAATTTTGCAAATAAAAAGATCAAAGAAGGAATGTAGCGCTCATAGTTAATAATGCTGTGCTGTGCACTTAAAACTTTAAGGCGGCAGGTTTCACGTTATGTGCTATTAACCCCAACACACACACACACACACACAAGGATGCCTTTGGAGGTGAGGGATATACTTATTACCTTCATTGGTCATACTTTCATTGGTGTATCTACACATAAAATTGTACATAGTAAACTTGTATGTCAACTATACTTCAACAAAGCTGCTTTTTAAAAAACAATGGAGTTGTATGCTGGTAAATATTTGATAACTGGCTCAGAGTGGGGGAAGCCAATTGTACTGCTTGTCAATTTCCATTTTGTAGATATTCGCTCCAGTGGCAGGCATGATGACACAAACCTGTAGTTTCACTGCTCTGAAAAGTGGTGACAGGAGGGTCACAAGTTTAAGCCCACAAGCAACTTCGTGAGACCCTGTCTCAAGATTTTTTTTACTAAAAAGGGACAGAGGATGTAGTTTAATGTGAATGTTTGCGCTCAATCCCCCAAGTTATCATCACCACAAAAAAATGTCCACCACCACAATATTTGTATTATTGAACTCAGACTTGGAAGAGATGAATGTATTCTCCCTATGCAAGCCAGCTGCACCACACCACCAGGACATTTTTAAGACCACTGGAGAAATTAGAAAGAAAAGTATATATTGGATTATACTATTAAATTTTTATGGACCTTCTTTGTTTTTGGTACCAGGGTTCAAACTTGGGAACTTGCACTTGTGAGGCAAGCAGTGGCACCACTGAGTTTCTAATATGTTATAATGCTACTGTGATTTTTGTGATGGTGTGTCCTGTCTTGTGTGATATATGCTAAAATCAGGATGTCATCCTGAGTTTGCAGGTTACTCTAAATTTTTGACAAAAGGAAGTGTGCAGGGGCAGGGAGGGAGAAAAAGAGAAGGTAGCAAGAGGTTAGTAGACGGGAGCGTGTACTATTATAGTATTAAAAATATGAGGGATACATCAGTGTTCACTGATGAAAACTGTCCCTTCAACTCTTCTGCAGCCAATAAATTTTTCAAGAGAAAAAAAAAGGGGATTTCTTACCAACAACAGATTTCATGCTAAAACTGGATCAGCAGGTTCTACTGCAAGAGTCCAACACATTGGGATATTAGGCTCAGGCTCTCAAACTGTAACATTTACCTAACTGAAGACGCAGGAGCTGTGCTTTCCAGTCACATCTTTCAGGTCAAAGAAGAAGGACTCTGACTTAAGTGAGTCCTTCACAAAAAAAATGGCACAATGCAACCAGGCTGCTTTTAGCAAACAACAGCAACTTCTCAGTAAATAGGGCAATGGACTCGAAACAAACTATACAGTCCTGTCACTGAGAAGTCCGGTGATTGTGTACACACCTGAGCCCACCGTCCCAGGGCATCCAAGTCAGAGCCATTTCATCCCAGATTCCTTGGCCCCTTCAACCCCTATATAAGCCTAAATCCTTTCCCAGTTAATGGCTAATATCTCCCTCCTGGTTTCAGCCCATCCACTCGTGGATGAAATCTCTCCCAGCCAGCTGCCAGTATCTCTCTTCCAGCGTCAGCCCATCCACAGACAGATGTGATAAACTCAGCTTTTCTCAGCTGGCTGCTAGAATCTCCAGATGTTTTAGTCCCTATTAACTAGAATAAACTTCTCTTTCACAAGTCCATTTTTGAGAAGTGGATCCGTTCTTTTCTTTTCTTTATTTTTAAACATCTGGCTCAGAAACTGCTCAATGAACCATGGGGGAAAATGTCCCTAAAAATAAAACCTGAGATGGTCTGCTATGTTAGCTTCTAAGGATTCCATGGAAAAATGAAAATAGAGGCTACTTAATATTATTTTGGTACTGCTGCTTCTTTTTGTGCCCCAGGTGAATATCTAAGAATAATTTTATGCTTTCTCAAATACAATAGACCAGCTCCCTCTGCTGATCCAATCTGAAAGATGATACTGCTTGAATTCCTTTTAAAACTTGAATTTTAAATAACACTTTTGGAGTAGAAAGCCTCAGACATGGAAGAACTTGCTCACCTACAGTACCCGTCATGATTCAAGAGACCAATATAAGAGGTTTGAAGTTCCCAAAAGCAAAACCGGCCTCACTGGGAAGCCTGTGCTCTGGCGCCCTCTGCAGGCCACAGTGACAAAAGCACTACTTATGCCGTGTTTCCCTTAAAGGTTGGGCTTTGCCTGAACTCTGACGTTTCGGGGTGGGTGGGGAAATAGGGCGGGAATTATTTCTTTCCAATCAGCAAGCTGTATTCGAACTCGTCATTAGCCCTGTCCAGAAACCACGGAAGTATCAAGGTCAGGTTATACACAACTATATTTCTTCAGACAGACTACTTCGTGCTGTCACCTGCCTGCCAGAAAAAACGAGCGATTTTGCTATTAAACTGAAAGCATCTTGCCCAAAATCAGTATTCTGTTTCTTTGAGAAGTAAGTTCAAGTATCTGCTCTATACTAACAAGGTAAGTGTATCGCGCATTTTATAAAGTTGAAATGTTTCCAGAAAATGGCTTTTCAGAGAATGAATTCCTTGAAAGGAAAGTGATTCTCTTAGAGGGAAAACAACAGCGTTAAAGAAAGAGTTGCGAAATAAGCGGATACCATAAGAGAATGGTTACCTTCATCTGAAAGGAAGATGTTGGTGAGAATAGCAGAATCACGGGTCATTCACTGATTCTGCATTCACTTCTGATTTCATCTTATGAATGAAATAAGAATACCAGGCCCTGGGAAAACCGAAATACTCCACAGACAGTGTGACAGGAAATCCTATAACAAAGTAAGACCATACTGAGGTAATGATAAGAAATGCTAACTGACCAAATTCCAAACTCAAGTCATAGTTGATTACAGTACCACTTATGTCTCTCTGTGTCTCAAAAAATGGTTCCTAGTGAGTTAGGTGAGGGGGTGGGGTTCCAGATGTAAAAACGGTGGCACACATCTGCAATCCAGGCATCCCGGGAGGCTGAGGTAGCCCATCCTGGGCAATTTAGCAACTTGACAAGACTTTTTTGCAGATCGAGCGGGGGGAGAACAGAGAGGAAGAGAGAGGGAGAGAGAACAATCTCCATGACTCATCTGGACTCCCTTCTGCCAAGGGACTAGATATAAGCAAACCTGAAGCAACGAAGTACTTCATGATGTGCAGCACACCTTATAGTTTATAGTTCACAAAGGCGAAGCACCCACCTTACATGCTCCCCACTCTTCAAAACTGTAATATTCCCTACCAGCTTTGAATTCGTGATAGCAATTTGTTTGACATCAATTGTTAGTTCTTCAGATCCAAACACAATTGTTTCAAGCTAAAAAGGGAAGGGAGATTTTAACTCTATTTTACACATGTGGAAAAAGTAGCACAGAGAAATGAAAATTTTTGTCCAAGTTTACATAGCTGTTTATAGAAGAGATGAGCAAATCTCCACTTCTAGTTTGCCCCAAAACTTTTCTTGCTGAATTAAAGCATATTTTAGTATGGTTGCACCCATTCAGAAATTCATGGACTGTAAGTATGGATTAAATTTTTAAATTGATTTAATTGGTACATTAAAAGTATACAATATAATGACATTCATCACTGGAAATTTGCATCTTTACATAACCCATCTTGGTTCTTATTTTTTCCCTATTCCCTTGCCCTCCTTCCAACCCCTCCCTCCCTGTCTACAAAGACTTTGCTTCCATTTTTTCATTTTCTCATATTAATTCCATTAGTATGGATTAATTTTAAAAGGTGCAAAATCCCACTATGTTTCTACTGCCTTTATAGTTCCTAGTCTCTAAAAGCCGAGGTCTTTTCTCAGTTCCTTTTCACTATAACATTCGAAACAGGGCCAAAGAGAGTCTGCGAAGGCTGATGTTACAGGACTTAGCACATGTGTGCTTTGAGTGTCAGCTTTCTCCATACAGAAGCATCCTTAAGTGATGTCACTGTTTCTCTCATTCTTTTTCTTTTCTTACTTCTAAGACATGACTTTTGTTCAATAACTGAGTCTTAAGAGGTACCCAGAGCATCTCTGTTGCATGAATTCGTTTCCTGTCAACCTGTTCAGTTCAGCACATGTCTCGCTTTACCAATGCAGGTAACAACCATTTCTTTCATGTCATTATAAAGACCCAGCACAGCAGAGATCTGCTGACTCCCAACCTTCACCTCCTAACTAGAACTTCAAGTATTTTTATTGGGGGAGCTATGTCTTTCTGGTTAGAAACTGGCTCGACCTCCTACTCCTCAACTCAAGAACCACCCACAGGTACCTTGCTATGTTTCCAATTTTGCTGATAAATGTTATCGGTGTGATTGGTCTTTTCTAGGGAGAAGGGAAGGAAGGAGGCAGACAACTAGAAAGGTAGACAATGAACACTAAGTGAGTATTGGGGGAGTCACTTTTGAGTAAATAATGTCATCTACTTTTATACTCACATAATCTTTTAACATAGGTTAGAAAATGCCTAGAAAATACCTCTGATTCTCACTCAAGTCCATGAGCCTGCACCAGAATAGCTGAATCTAAGGGGCCTGAGGGCTCAAAGGTCCTTCTTCCTTGCTCTCTGTAGTCAGTAAATCCACTCGCTTCTGTGCCTGGAACTTCTGATCTGATTAGGAGGAAAGCTGTAAAGTCACAGGGACAGATTTCCAAATGGGCAGGGGCAACCCTGACCAAAGGTGGAAGAAGAGGAAACACAACATGTCAGACGCGCAGATAACACAGTTGCATCCTGGCGCCAGAGCCAAAGCCCCACATTCAAGGCAGACTCTACCCCTTCTTAGCAGTGCAGCCTTCAGCTACGATGAATCATGATGCTATTTTCCCATTTGCTGGTGCAAGAAGCTCAGTAAATATTTGCTGTCCTGGTTCTCCAAGACAAATCCCACCATGATAAGTGACACACAGCTACAGAAATTACGTGGGGCTTTACAGCTACATCGCTCCTCAAAAATACTGTATCTTCAAATGCAAAGGCCAAATGAGTTACATCTGTTTTATGACACAAATACTTTGAGGCCAACTATTGTTGGTGTGTGTTTTCTGAACTGGGTGTGGACTTACAACTAAATCCACTTGACATAGCAGGAGCCTCAGCATGACCTAAATGTGGTTTACTAGAATTAAATGAGTATCCCTTCCAATCAGGCAATGCTATATACTGAGATCTGGGGAAACCCAAATCCTAAAATTAAAAAAACAAAAACTGGTTCTCAGACCCCTGACACATATGTCCTCCGTTGCCCCTGACAAGTACAAGGGTCAATTCCCTGCTTCACCCCTCATCTGACTCCAGAGTGTCTGTGTGCCTCTCCTTGGGCTCTGTTTTGGTCAGTCTAGTCTGTACAGGTTAAGGACCCCAAACCCTCATGGCATGTAATGTCCTTGTTGTACTACAAGACATGGCCATAATCAGTCATAATTTAGGACCATGAATGTGTTGATTAAAAACTAACATTTTCAGTGACTGAACTTCCTAGAATTCAGAGAGACAAGGTGATAGCAAAAGGACCCATTAATACTGAGAGGATCATTCCTCGAGGGCTTAGGATACTGGCCATGGTATAAAACTTAATACATTTAATTGAGTGTTTATTACATAGCAGAATACTTCTAAAATTCCTCCAACATATCTGAGTCATTTAGTCTTCACAACTAATCCTCTAAAAACTTATTATAATTATCATTATTATAATTGCTGTCATCATCCCCCCCCCGACTTTTTTTTTTAGTCAGGTCTCACTATGTAGTTGAGACTGACCTGGAACTCACTATGTAGCCCAGGCTGGTCTCGAACTTACAGTGATCCTCCTGCCTCAGCCTCCCAAGTGCTGGGATTACAGGCATGCGCCACCATGCCCAGCCTTCATCCCTTTTTATTAGAGAGAAAAGCAAGCACAGAGAACATAAACAGTGAGTCCAAGATCACACAGCTAACAAGCCGCAAAGCCAGAATTTAAACCAAAACAGTCTGAATGCGAAGCTTACAGTTTTTTATCCAAAATGTGATTCAGCCTCCACTCGAAGATGAGAGAACTGGAATTCTGGCACTTCCTACGCCCATTCCTGTGTCTCAGGTTCTTTTCCCACTTTATGATATGAAGTAGTAATATCTGACCTTGCTCTCACAGAGCATCCCATGGCCAAGAGAGTTGCAGTGATGGGAGCTGGGGTGAGCAGCCTGTCTCGTATCAAATGCTGCTTGGATGAGGACCTGGAGCCCACCTGCTTTGAGAGAAGTGACGACTTTGGGGGACTATGGAAGTTTACTGTGCGTGCCTTCCCTGCACTTGTCTCCATCCATCGTAAGCTGGCCAGTTGCTCTGTTTCTGCTCAGTCGGGGGCTTCAGCCTGCCTCGGTGATTGAGCAAAAGAGTGGCTCGCTGCACCAACACAAATGTGTGCATGGTGCAGTGCTGTGCACTATGAAGACGCAGGCTGAAACGAGGAGCTGCAGGGCATGGTCAGGGATGTGGGGAGAGAGGAAGGAGTCAAGTCTGAAAGACAAGCACAGTGCTGGAAGTTTATGATGATTTCTGGAACACTGACATGATAAAACAAAGTAGCAGAGTGCTGTATCAGTTGGGCTAAAAAGCATTGGAGAATATGGAGTAGATTACACTGTAGGGAGGGTGGAAGTTGCCATCAGGGAGTGGAGATACAACCCCCAAACCTTTGTTCAGGTCTTCAGGAAGAGAACTAGAGTGACGCGGGACCCCAGATTTAAAAAGTCTGGTGGGTTGGGGAAGAGCTTTGACTATGTCAGAATAGAGAGACCTCAGGAACTGAGCCATCCTTCTTGAAAGCAGGATATGCAATCAACAGGATAGTACTCCTGGCTAGGCCAGCTGTTTGGTGAGGTGAGCACCAGAAAATGGGCCAAGAGAAGTGGTTAAATTCTATCTGCCTCTGGCAAGGACTGGTCCTGGTTATGAGGGGCAGCAAGGTATTTACTGGGAACTAAAGATCCTGCCCCAGTGGTAGGGTATAAGAAGGTATACAACATGGGATCCAAGCAGGAAAAGTAGCAAATGCTTCAGGGAGAAGAGAAGAGCAGCTCCCATCCAACCTGTATGAATGAGGGAAGCTCTTGTGGAAGATAGCGCTTGCTGAATCCTGGAATGATGGCACATAAAATAAAACGAGCTAAGGTATATAGGTATGAATAGTCATAGGATGATAGGGCACTTGGGGGAAAACAGAACTTTTTTCTTGTGTACTGTGATCTTAATGAAGTAACCAAGAATCAGTGTGCTAATAAAATAATGAATCTAGTTTGTGTAGCTTCTGCTACAGTTAAAACTGCAGCTGATTTAACTGCTTTCTCCTATTTGAAAATAATACAAATGTTAGAAAATAATACTGAATTAAACAAAATAAAACACAAATTATAGTAATAATACCCACATCTTAGCAATATTAAAATGTTGGTGAAATTATTCCAGTCATATGTATGGTATTTTTTTCCAAAACCACAATGGCAATATTAATTTTCCATTCATTGAGCATGTACTTATCTGTCCTTGTGCCAGGATACAATGGTACATAAGACAGACAAGAATCTGGACCTCCTTATAGTCTAGTAGGAAAGAGAAATTGTAAAGCAATAATTACAGCTGAGTGTGATCATGTCTGTTAAAGAAGACCAGGGTGCAGTGAACCACAACTACTTTATGCAGATCAGCTGGATAATGGAAAACTTCTCAGGGAATTTGAGAGCTAAAGAAGAGACTTGAAAGAGAAAGAGATTAGGTTCAGCCACAAGAAGTTTATTGAAGCTGTTAGTATTTTTTTGCTGTGATTTCCTTTGAGCAGTGAAGATCGAAACTATACAGTAAGCTGATGACCATAGGAGAAAACAGGCTACCAGTATATAATGATTCTTAACTAAATACTGAAATAGGATGAAAAGAGACAGAGCTGTGAGGGAACGTAAGTTCAGAGAGGAGTTCTGTTTGTTTTTAAAATTAATCTTCAGCAATTTAAGGAATCATGGAAAGGAGCCCATAAAGGGGAGGGTGACTGCAAACATACATAGACGAAAATCAGAAAAAAATCACCAAGCAGTTGCCTGAGGAAAGACAGAGAGACATCAAGATCATGAAGGGAGAAAGTAGCATGGCAACGAAGAAGGAAAAGATCACAGACCAAGCATTTATAAAATTAGTTAAAGGTAGTATTCAGTAGTATTCAGTATACCTATTCAATTTCACTAGCCTTCTGTGGATTTAGGAAGATACTGCAATTAATTATTCCAATCCCACTAATGATTTCCCACCATTATATGACGAGGATCTAAGACTGAGTGTTCTGGAAGTCCTTAAAATGACAAGTAGAACTCTGCCCAGAAACCCTGGCAGCTGAGCTGGCACGAGCCACTCAGACCCCCTCCACTCTATCAAGCTAACTATGCTTTCACCACAGGAAGATTCCAAAGATGGGATGACCAGGGTCTACAGATCATTAGTGACAAATGTCTGCAAGGAAATGTCATGTTATAGTGATTTTCCATTCCAAGAAGATTACCCCAATTTTATGAGCCATGGGAAATTTTGGGATTATCTCCAAGCATTTGCTAAGCACTTTGATCTCCTCAAATACATTTCGTTTAAGGTAAGATACTTGGGTAATGGAAGGTTATTGATTGGGGTCTGTACTACTCAACAACCCAAAGGAAATAGGAAGTTGAAGTAAATTCTTTCTTGATTTTTATTGATACATGAATAAGGCAGGTAACAAAGTCTCCTCATTACTCCTGCTGCTATGTTTGACTCATAAATCATTAAAATAGTGAGTTTCCAGATTCCTCCTCTAAATGCTAAACTCTCATTGAGAATCAAATTATTTTTCTTGAAAGAAAGGGAACATAATTTTTTATGAAACCCATTGGGGAAAAGTGACTACAAGTGTGAACCACAGAAATTATAACAGCATATTATATCTTATTTCCTTCTCATCAGGCATAAAAATTGACTGCTTCTTCCATTTAAATGATTCAAGGGCTGGGGATTTAGCTCAGTGGTCACCTACCTTGCAAACACAAGGACCTGAGTTCGATCCCCGGTACCCCTCAAAAAAAATCAATAAATTATTCAGATATTGGAGTTCTGGTATATCTATTACTGTCTTTGAGAGTTTGCACAAGTTCCTTAACTTTTATGGAGAAAAATAAAACCATATTTATGGACCTCCTATTATAGGACTTGGTCTACTTTAAGAAACAGACAAGCCGTGCATGGTGGCCCATGCCTGTAATCCCAGCACTTGGGAGGCTGAGGCAGGAGGATTGCTGTGAGTTCAAGACCAGCCTGGGTTACATAGTGAGTTCCAGGTCAGTCTCAACTACATAGTGAGACCCTGACTCAAAAAACAAAGAAACAGACAAGTACTATACCAGTCAGTATATGAGGTTCAAAGGTTTTGATATAATGCAAGTGTTTGTACTTTACTTGTAGACAACAGTGTGTAGCGTAACCAAGTGTCCGGACTTCTCTGAAAATGGGCAGTGGGATGTTGTCACAGAGACAGAGGGCAAGCAGAACAGAGCTGTCTTTGATGCTGTCATGGTTTGCACTGGACATTTCCTGAATCCACATTTACCTTTAGAGTCCTTTCCTGGTGAGTCATTCCTACCTAAGACAGTGCCTACACTTTTGGGTTCTTCTGGAAGAAAATTTACTGATTTGCAATTGGAAATACTTCCATGTGATTGGAGACAACTTTATATTCAAAAGTAGTATCTACAAAATTACATTGAAAGATACAAAACAGATTTTGTTATCTATTTAGTTGTATTAATGTTATTGTTTAAGCTTTGTCTTGCTTGTCTAATTCAAGTTCAGTGATCAAATAAGGCTCAAAACTATCAGATCTGTGAAAAAAAATGAAACACAGGTTTTGACTTTGGAGACTGAATCGAGTCCAGACTAACCAGTAATTTAGGGACTTGAAAGAAGAGAGTGTATAAGGCAACTTGACACAGGGTCTTAGAAGGAAACAACCCAAAAATTATACATGTAAAGGAACATATTTGTATGGTTGTTAAAGTGGTGAAAGTGGAAATCCTTGTCGTTTCTAGAATTTAAAAAGAAGCTATCTGTTTGTTCTCATGCCATATGATGAAAACTGCAGCCTTGTTATCTGTGGCCACAGTTAAGATGTTCTTCTATACCTAATTCGTTCAGTTTTTAGTAATGAGGGCATGTTGAATTTTCTTAAATGCCTTTTCTGCAACGATTTAGATGATCAAATGTATGCTTTTTATCTTTCATCCTGTTGATATGTTATATCACCTTTATTGATTTTCAGAGTTGAATCCTTCTGCTGTCTGAGATAAATCTTACTTCATGTAGAGAGTAATCTTTTTAATGTGTTGTTGGATTTAGTTTGCCAGTTTTGTTGAAGATTCTTGTGCCTTTGTTCATCACAGTACTAGCTTGTATGTAGCCTTTTTTGTTGTTATTGTTGTTGTGTCCTTGACTGGTTTTAATATCAGGTTAATGCTGACCTTACAGAAATACTTTGGAAGAATTCTCTTCAGTTTTTTTTTAATAATTTAAGAATTGTTGGGGCTGGGGATTTAGCTCAGTGGTGGCATGCCTGTATCTCAAGCACGAGGTCCTGAGTTTGATCCCCAGTACTGGAAAAAATAAATAAATTGGTATTAATTATTCTGTAAATGTTTGGTAGAATTCAGCACTGAAGCCACTGTTTTGTTATTGCTGTTGTTTTTGTTTGTTTTTTTCTTTTTTTGAAACAGGGTCTCTCTATGCAGTTCAGGCTGGCTTAAAACTCAGTAGGTAGCCTAGGCTGGCCTCAAACCATCCTCCTGCCTCAGCCTCCTGAGTGCTGGGATTACAGACATGTACCTCCACTCCTGGCTAAAGCCATTGTATCTTGGGCTTTTCTTTGGTGAAAGACTTTTCATTATTGATTCAACCTTCTTACTCATTATTGGTCTGTTCAGGTTCTCTATTTCTTTACTGATTCAATCTTAGAAGGGTGAATGTGTCCAGGAATTTATTTATTTCAAGTTATCAAATTTGTTAATAATCCTTTGTAGTTCTGTGATCAACTATAATGCCTTTTTCATCTCTGATATTATTTGAGTCATCTCTTTGTTTTTCTCAGACTAGCTAAGGGTTGGTCAGTTTTGTTAATGTTTTTGAAAAACCAGTCCTTCATTTCATTAATCTTTTCAAGGGTTTTTTTTTTCCTACCAGGGATCAAACCCAGGACCTTGTACTTGTGAGACAGGCGCAGTTCCACTGATCTAAATACCCAGCCCCTTTTCAAGGATTTTTAAGTCTCTTTTTCATTTAATTCTGCTGTAATCTTCATTGTTTCTTTCCTGCTATTAATTTGGGGCTTGATTTGTGGTTGTTTTCTAGTTCCTTAGGGGCAATGATACTTGTTTAAAACTTTCCCATTTTGGGTTGGGACATTGCTTGCTATAAAATTATCAGTGCTGCTTTTGAATAGGTTTTGCTGTGCTGTGCTTCTATTTTCGATTGTTTCAACAGGTTTCTCAATTTCCTTCTTAATTTATTCCTTAATCCATTGGTTGTTCAAGAGTAAATTGTTTAAGTTACATAAATTTGTATGATTCCCAAAGCTTTTATTGTTATTTCTAACTTTATTGCATTATAGTCGGAAAAAAAGATACTTGATATTTCAATTTTTTAAATTTGTTGAGACTTGCTTCCTTGCCTACCATATGATTCATCCTGGAGAATTTCCATGTGACATGGAGAAGAATGTATGGCCTTTAACTATTCAACCAAATGTTCTTTAAATGTCTATTACATACATCTGGTATAGGGAAAAGTTTAATTCCATTGCTTTGTTGATTTCCTGTCTGGAATATCTGTCCATTGATGAAAGAAGGAAGTGCCCTACAATTATTGTCCTGGAATGCACTTTTCTGGTTAGGTCTATTAATATTCATTTGGTATATTTAGGTGCTCTGATTTTGGGTATATATATATATATATGTACAATTGTCACTTTTTCCCCTTTTTGTGGTTTGTGATGCTTATTCAGAATCTAAAAGAAGATATCAAAGACATATTTGAGTATAAGACTGTAGTGGCCATGGGAGAAATCATAGTTGGACATGATATTTAACACCAATGGGGTATCAAAATATAAGACTAGAAATAATCTATTTCTTGTGCAGGATGTTCATGATAGTGCAAGCATAATATGCACTAAGTTTGATTTTCCACATTGATTATATAAAAAAGAATGCATTTATACTGTTTTGAACAAGGAAGATTGCACCAAATCTGTATCTGGACTCACTGCATCCCAACAGAGAGGACAAGCATCACAAGCTTGTCCTACATCCTGCAACCAACGGCAGGGCCAGGACCAAAGGATGCCCTATTTCTGGTGCTTCCCTTTTCCCACAGACCCTAACCCTGCATACTGAGGAATTTCAGCTTTAAATATTCCACACTGTCTGACCCTCTCATCCTCTTCAGGAGTCCATAACTTTCAAGGGCAGATCCTGCACAGCCAAGAGTACAGGACCCCAGAAGCCTTCCAGGGCAAGCGTGTCTTGGTGATTGGCCTTGGGAACACAGGAGGGGACATCGCAGTGGAGCTCAGTCGAACAGCAGCTCAGGTACAGCCCTTCTGCATCAGTGCCACCCTTTGTCATAGTGTGTGGTGGCCTGAGAGACAGAGTCAAGACTATAGAATATGTTGGCCAATTGCCAAGTTATGCTAATGTTGGGTGAATGAAAAAGAATCCCCAAAATCCCTCAAAGCCATTCTTGGTCATCTTTTAACCACTTAGGAGACCACACTTTACACAGTCAAACTAGCTCCAGGAAAGAGTCTAGGAACACTTTCTGCATGCCAGACTACATGACATGTTCCAGATGTGCTCCTTCAGGTAGAAGACTAAATAGAAATTGCTACAACTGGGGCAGTTATCTTTCTTTTACATTCACCCTAATTTTAGTCCAAAAAAATTTTTTTAAAGTTGTTTTCCAAATGTCTCCAAATTTTCTATTAGAAATCAAATTTGTATCTTAATATAAAAGCAACCTTTAATTTAACCAAGAAATATACATAATGAATTCAGAAAGACCAAATAAAATATTGATAATTTAGAAATCTGTTCCATTTTAGCACAAAGAACTATAATTGGCTCCAGAAAGAAGAGATTTGTAATTAATTCAGATAAAATGATTAACTTTAAATTCTGTTATCAAATTAAGAATGGCCAGATCAATACATATACCTACAAATATTATAACTTTATTTTTATAATCCATAAACATAAGGAAAATAATGTATGTAAAGCAAGGAAAGTGTTTTTTCAAAGAATGGCAGCAGCATGTGTATTTATACATAGATCTATAAATGAATTCATAAAAATTCACTGCTGTTAGAAGACCAGAATGTTATGAGAACCTCTGAAACTCATAAAGGCAAATATCACAAGGCACGGACATGTATTTATCCTTCTTTCCTTACTTCATAGGTATTTCTTAGTACTAGGACTGGCACCTGGGTTTACAGCCGCTCTTCAGTTGGGGGCTACCCTCGAAATATGATGTCAACAAGAAGATGCAATAATTTGATTGCACAAGTTGTGCCTTCATGTTTCCTAAACTGGATTCAAGAGAGGCAAATGAATAAAAGATTTAACCATGAGAATTATGGATTAAGTATTACAAAGGGGTAAAGTTTATCTTTTATGGGAACTTTCAGTTTTTTATTAACCTGCATTAATTGTACATATTAGTGATGTCCAGTGTGATAGTTCCACGCATGCATTGATCAAATCCAGCCACTTTTTTCTACACTCCCCTCATAAACACAAACTTCCCAATTTCTAATAGTCATTATTCAACTTTTAGCTTCCATATATGAGAAAGGTCATGTGGTACTTGTCTTTCTGCTTCTGGCTTATTTTAATTAACAAAATGTCCTCCAGTTCCATCTGTTTTGCGGCAAATGACAGGATTTCATTCTTCTTTGTGACTGAACAATGCTCTATTGTGCATGTGTACCACATTTTCTTTGTCCATCATCCTTCAATGGGCACCTAGACTTATATATTAAACATAAAAATGGAGGTATCCCTTGGGTATGGAGATTTTATTTCCTTTAGATATATACCCAAAAGCAAAGTTACTGGGTCATATGGAGATCTAGTTTAAGTTTTTTGAGAACCCTTTATACTGTTCTTCCTAATGGCTATTTTACATTCCCACCAATAATGTATAAGAATTCTCTTTTTGGGCCAGGGATTTAGCTTAGTGGTTCTGCTGCTTGCTTTGCAAGTACAAGGTCCTGAGCTCAATCAACAGTACCCCCGCAAAAAAATTCTCTTTTCTCCATATTCTCACCAGAATTTGCTATTGTAATCTGTTTTCTTTTTCATATAGCCATTCTACCTGGAATAAGATGGTATCTCGCTACACTTCTGGCACTTCTGATTTGCTTTTCTCATGGGAATTTTTGAAATCAATATTTCTCTTTCTACTTTATTTAGAACTCAGAATTTTCTGGAATTGTAATATTACCTTTGTCTCTCCCATTGTAAACTTATTTTACTAGAACAGTGTCCATTCATCAGTTCTTCAAATAGGAACATTCTCTGTCTAATAACAGAAATACTAATACATGAGACTAGAAGAAAATGAAGGAAAAGAGCACTTACTATCAACCTGAAAATCAGGAAATCTAAACTGGCCTTGAGGAATCTTGCCATTGCTACCATCTAGAAACACAATAACACTGCCATATCAGCGAGTGCAGATAGTCAGCTCTCCCTAACCTATAATGCATTTGATTTTAGCTGAGTGATTAGAAGTTCCAATATATAACAAGAATTCCTGAAATTGTATATTTTAATTTAATTCTGTATGGAGTACAAATTGGAAAGGAAAAGAAAAACTTTGATGGATAAAAGGTCACTAAATGTGATTTTTTATTATATGCTTAACCTAAATATTCTTTGGCAAGATACATTTCAATTTACAAGAAAAGTTTATGGCAAAGCATATTTGACATGTAAATTTTATAGACAGTATATCTAATGTGATTAGGTAGAATGATGCTCACAATGAAAATATTTATGTGTAACTGTATTCAGTTTTTAAATTTTTATTCAAAGAATTTTTTGTTAATTTTCTCTTTCTCTAATGTCATACCTGGAGGCCCAGGTGATATGAAACCCTAATTTCATCATCAAATTCTCTGTTGTATATTCTGATCCTAACAGTTTAAGAAAAGCATTGTTCAGAATTAATTCTAGGAGAAGCATAACTGTAAATTGAGGCAGGAAAGAGTATGGTCATTTTCCACATAACTTTTACTGGGAACAGGAAAACAAAACATGAACACAGGAAGTCAAGAGACAACTCTGAATTAGACCTTGGTCGATTTAGTTTCTTGGCTTGGCAGATGATTTCCTCAACTGAATAAATAACTTGCTGAAGTATCTCATAGATATAATAATTACAGTGAATACATTTTTCCTCTGTGTTGAAGGAAAAAGAAGAAAGCTATTGTGAATGATGAGCTGCCAACCTGTATTCTCTGTGGGACAATCACTGTGAAAACCAGCGTGAAGGAGTTCACAGAGACCTCTGCTGTCTTTGAAGATGGGACAGTGGAAACAAACATGGACACTGTCATCTTCGCTACAGGATATACATTTTCTTTTCCCTTTCTTGAAGAACCTCTCAAAAGTCTTTGTTCAAAAAAGATGTTCCTATACAAGCGGGTCTTCCCTCAAAACCTAGAAAAAACAACCTTCGCAGTCATTGGCCTAATCAGTCTCACTGGGTCCATCTTAGCAGCCACGGAGCTCCAAGCACGGTGGGCCACAAGAGTCTTCAAAGGTAACTTGACTCTAGGGAGACCTCTGTCAGATCAACTGAGTCTTAATGTTAGTACCCTGCCATTTAGCTGAAATAAAAGAGACGTGAGCTGTAGTAATATAAAGTACTAGGAACATTGGATGCACAATTAATTGTATGTACGTGTAACATTATTCTGGGTGTGCAAATGTCACTCCACCTGACTTAGATTTTTTATTCTATAGAGGAGATAAATGTGGGTGGCACAATGAATCAGATTTCTCAAATTAACTGAGTGTATTAGCAACTTCAATATCCTGTTCTGCTCTAGTTGTTTATTTACTCCAAAGTCTTTCCGTTTATTGCTACTAGTAGAACTTTATATTGCTTCTAAAACAAGATATTGGGAAAATGCACAGTGTGAATAAAATTTATATATGAAAAGACAAAAACCTTTAAAAGTAATGTGCTTTTCCTCAGTTTATTTGTATTACAGAAAAAAATTATCACCCCTTCATTAAGTTATCATAAATTTGTATTTCCTTAAGGCAAATTACAGTGATTTCACCACACTCTTGCATTATCTTAAATTCACAGAAGACTCCTAAGTATCTGGCTTTTATAAGTGTTTTACAATAAGCTCCTATATGTTTATTAGAATGATAAAGCTGGGGCTGGGGATTTAACTAAGTGGTTCCAACACCTGCCTCGCAAGCACAAGGACCAGAGTTTGATCCCCAGTACCCCAAAAAAGAAAAAAAAAGAATGATAAAGCTGACAAAACTTGAGTGGTCACACCACATGAGGCTTCACCAAAGACTTTCTAAGAGGCACTGAAGGAACCTCCCAGTCTTGCTAGATTTTTATAGGATAAAGGGGCCCTAATCACCAGTTCTGAGTCAGACCTGTCCCCTGTGGATGATAAACCCATGCCTGGGGTAGGCATGCAGTACCTGGCAAGGCAAGACACCAGACTGGGATAGTGAACACAGTGGACGAGCAAGGTAGCCCAGGGCAGGTAGAAGAAGTAGGAGCACAGAGTTCACATTATAAGAGGGGGTGTGTTTGTACCAGGAACCCAGAGGACAGAATGGGATTTTAAACTCTGGGGCAGCTGGGCAACTGCAGAGAATAGACAAAGTCCAATCTGTTAAGAAAAGAACAAAGTTTAGGATTTATAAAAGTAAAAGCCAAGTGCTGAGACTGTCCAGATGGGAGATTCAGAATAAATGAGTCCTCACAGCAGTGACTCAAAGCACACAGCCTCTGTAAGACCAAGGCCCCTAGGCCCCTTCAACATCTGAGGCTGCCCAGGGAGCACAACTGAAAATGTGCCAGAGTTGCAAAATGCGGCCACTTTAAATATTTCCATTTAAGCAACTAATAGCTTCACACACATACATATACAGGTTCGATGTGGGGATATGTATATATAGTCTCTGCATGTGTGCAGAGTATATGTGTGCATGTGAGAGAGAACATGACAACAGATGGGGAGGGAGAGACCAGGCCAGCTGCCAGAGCACATGTTGATGTCTGGTATATCTGGGAACAGCTGAGAGCTAGGCCCTCCATGCACCCATCTCACAATCTGGCAGTAGAATTCCCTGGTTAAGCGGGTTAGGAGGGGAGTTTTACCTTTAGAAAATTACCTGTGCACTCAAGTTCTACTCTAAACTTTGTTCTGAGCTTGGAGCAGGAGACCAGAAATGAGAAAATGGAGAGCAAAAATGAAGGAAATTTAAGGAGAAACTATATATAACTTTGTGTTTCTGATTTTTTTTCATAGGACTCTGTAAGATACCTCCAACCCAGAAATTGATGGCTGAGGTGATTAGAAAGCAGCAGCTCATTAAAAGGTATGACATACAGCATGCTATAGAGAAAACATCAATAAATTGTTATCAAAAAAAAAAGAAGACAGGGATTCTCAGTATAAAAGCCATTCCTAGAGAAGAAGTATGAAAGTTGGAAACAACTCTACATTGAGTCAGAATATATTTTTAGTCCTAACTCTGTCACCAGACAGGCCTAAGACACATCGTAGGGGCACTGGACCTTCTCAGTGAGACACAGAGCCTGGCCCCTTATAGGTCACAATCCTGCCTTCATGTGACCTCTTCCAACCTCTAAGGCTGATCTTTCTCTGTATTTCCTGGCATCTCCTCTTCCTCTCTCCTAAAGCTTGAAGAGACCCAATCTTTGCTCTCAGGCCTGATTACACTCACACCTACATGACTTCATCAAGGCCTGTGGCTCTAATACCATCATATACTTGTGGCTCTCAAACTTGTGTCTCTATCCTAAATCCACAAAGATCCAGACTTCTACTCCAACTTTCTCTAGATATCTCCACATAGATCTATAACAGGTATCTCAAATTTAACACACCTAAAAATGACCTCCTCCTTCCTTCCTTCCTTCTTTCTTGTTGCGATAGAATCTCAGTGTTCTCAGTGTTTTTACTAGACTCAAGTGATCCTCCTGCTTTATTTTCCTGACTAGCTGGGACTGTAAGCACACACTTAAGTCAAAAAAAACAAAACAAAACAAAACAAAACACTCTAACACCCTCTTTCACCCCAACCAGTCTGAGATTGTTTTCCCCCACTGCAGATAACAGTTACTCATTCCTTTTCTTTCCTTTCTCCAGACCACTTGCAAATACTGTCAGCTACTACCTTCCAAATAAATCCAGAATTCAAACACTTCTCATGACCCCGCTGCTATCACCTGAGACTGGGCTATTCAGAATCTTGTCTGTCTCCCACTTTCCACTCTGCCCTCTGGCACAACCACAAGGGCAAGCTGCACCATGCCGCTCCCTGTTCGAAGACCTGCAGTTGCATCGCGTTCTCTCTCAGAAGCCTTCTCCAGCCTCCACAATTCACCGGGGAACCAAGCCTCTGTGTGCCCACATCACCCTCCTTGCCTGCTGTTCTCCACTCACCCACACTGCCTCAGGGGCTCCAGCCTCCTTGCTGTTCCTCACTCAGGCCAAGCACCACCCTTAGGGCCTCTGCACTCGCATGCTCACACTCTTCAAACCACACACCTGGGAGAGGCTTTTCTTGACAACCCCAGTGACCTGCCTTTACATCTCTCATCATACCTGATGTATTGATCACCTGGTGTATATCTATTTGGGCTTTTCAGAGTCTGTTGCTTTCCCCCATTAAATTCTGACAGCAAGGATGACTCTGCTTTGTTCACTGTTGGAACCTGTGCCTAGAATGACCTCAAATATTTTGTTTGTTCCTTTATTTATTGAATGACTTTAAGATACCAAGAAAATTTACTAAGAGATATAGTTATGAATAAAGGCTTCACATACACTATGCTCATATCTGTGTCGATCTTAGTCCTACCAAGTATGGATTGATTCAAAATTAATACCAGGTGCAAAATGCAGGTGTCCCCATGTGTGGTGCTTTCTGATCCAGTTCATTTATCAACAACTTCTGTATTTGGATTGAGCAAATTTAATCATCTCAAATTTAAAAACTGAAAGTTTCTCTTCCAATTGTCTCTTTTACTACCTCCTTTCACGAATTAATTCCTCTCATATACACCATCTGTAGGTGATTCCTTCTTTTTTCTTCCCAGCCCAAAATCACATTCCCAAACATGGTTTGATTGTGAAGATCGAGTAACACAATGGTGGGGAAGGGTGGATCTTATAACTTAAGAAACGCAGGGCAGGGAGCGATTGACAAAAGTCATCCATTTTCTTTCCTCACAGGGGTGTGATCAAAGATACCAGTCAAGACAAACTCAACTACAAGCTACATGG